GCTGCTTTTTAGGGGCTTCAGCGTTACATGTTAGAGACATTTACAGGTCCTTCTCAAAAAATTAGCATATTGTGATAAAGTTCATTATTTTCCATAATGTAATGATAAAAATTATACTGTGATATATTTTAGATTCATTGCACACCAACTGAAATATTTCTGGTCTCTTATTGTTTTAATACTGATGATTTTGGCATACAGCTCACAAAAACCCAAAATCCATGTCTCAAAAAATTAGCATATCAAGATAAGGTTCTCTGAACGAGCAATTAACCTCATCATCTGAATCAACAAAGTAACTCTAAACACATGCAAAAGATTCCTGAGGCTTTTAAAATCTCCCAACCTGGTTCATTACTCAAAACCGCAATCATGGGTAAGACTGCTGACCTGACTGCTGTCCAGAAGGCCATCATTGACGCCCTCAAGCAAGAGGGTGAGACACAGAAAGAAATTTCTGAACAAATAGGCTTTTCCCAGAGTGCTGCATCAAGGCACCTCAGTGGGAAGGAAATGTGTGGCAGAAAACGCTGCACGAGAAGAAGTGACTAAACCCTGAGGAAGATTGTGGAGAAGGGCCGATTCTAGACCTGCGGAAGCAGTGGACTGAGTCTGGAGTAGAAACATCCAGAGCCACCGTGAACAGGCGGGCACCTTGATTTCTGAATGACATGCAAAATTTGCTTTCATCCGAAAAAAGTACTTTGGACCACTGAGCAACAGTCCAGTGCTGCTTCTCTGTAGCCCAGGTCAGGCGCTTCTGGTGCCGTTTCTGGTTCAAAAGTGGCTTGACATGGGAATGCAGCACCTGTAGCCCATTTCCTACACACGAGACTCCCCATAGAGAGTCTGTGGGATATTGTGAAGAGAAAGTTGAGAGACGCAAGACCCAACACTCTGGATGAGCTTAAAGCCGCTATCGGAGCATCCTGGGCTCCATAACACCTCAGCAGTGCCACAGGCTGATTGCCTCCATGCCACGCCGCATTGAAGGCTGCAAAAGGATTCCTGACCAAGTATTAAATGCATAACTTAACATAATTATTTGAAGGTTAACTTTTTTGGTATTAAAACACATGTCTTTTATTGGTCGGATGAAATATGCTAATTTTTTGAGACAGGGATTTTGGGTTTTCATGAGCTGTATGCCAAAATCATCAGTATTAAAACAATAAAAGACCTGAAATATTTCAGTTGGTGTGCAATGAATCTAAAATATGACAGTTTAATTTTTATCATTACATTATGGAAAATAATTAACTTTATCACAATATGCTAACTTTTTGAGAAGGACCTGTATTTAGAACATTTTTGTACATCTATCCCGGCGTGTGACTTTCAGAGGAATGAATTTCAGGAGCAAGGCCTGACCTTGGAGGAATGGCTTCCCTCCGCCTGGATCACAGACACGGTTCCCCGCAGATGTCCTTACATACCTCAGATGGGAGACGAGGTACGCAACGCTTCCTTTAAATGTCTCCAGCAAATCCAGGCGCTCGTCGAGGCTGCGATGCTAAACGCACCCGAAACATGACCCTGTTGCATTTCCGCGCTCGCCTGCAGGTGTACTACTTCCAGCAGGGTCATGAAGCTTACGTTGAAATGGCCAAACAGAAGAAGATTTTCAGCATCAACCCTAAGAAACAGCCCTGGCACAAGATGGAGCTCCGGGTAAGAAACTGGCTAATTCAATTACTATAAAAAAGAAAAGTATTCACCCCCTGCATGTTTTAGATTTTTAAATTTGGCTTTATCGACAAAAACAAAATGTACAAAAAAATCTTTTTATTAACGTCAAAACTGATTTCTTCAAAACTATTGAACATAAAGTAGGTATTTATATAAATATTCACCATATTTAGAAGGTGAATACTTTCTATAGGCACTGCTGGGTTTTGTACCTGTGGATCAACGTGAACATTTCATAACCCGTCATGTTTCATAACAGACCAAGATGGAAAACTTTAAACTTGCCGTGTTTTTGTTCAGCCTTCTTGTTATTCGCTCAAAGTCTTTTCTGTTGTTGCCGCCTGAATGAACAGCAAACCAAGTAGAAACTTTTTTTTTTAATATATTTTTTTTACATGTTTTTCAAACAGCTTCTTGCACCCTTTGTGTTTCTTGAAACACTTTCCTGTTGCTGAAAAGCCTTGGTGCACATATGGTGCGTTCACCGATTCGATTTTTGGGTTTCCGTCCATCTGTTTACAGTAGTAAAAACATCTTAATGTCCTCCTAAAGCCGCTTCTGCTTTATTAAATCACAATTATCACTAAATACACGGCAGCGACACCTGAACGCATTGTGGGTGGCAAATGATTTAGTAGTCTTTGATTGATCTTAAATTTGCAACATTTGTGATTTTAACACTGACATCCAGTAATAACCACTGTTCGATGGGAGTCCTGTCA